AAATGCACTTCTTGCCAGGGGAAAAATGACAGAAACCGCAGTTGTGAGTGGGGTGGCCAACCCTAGCTCCGCCCCTGTGTTAATTGCATTAAATATTTTTAATGCGTTAAACTGAAAAAATGAATCGCCTGCGTTAACGCGCTAATGTTGACAGCACTAATATTACAATATTTACTTATTAGCAATTTACTAAAAATCCTAAATGCTTAATATGTGTTTTTACATTTATTAAAATCAAATGGTGTATGTATCTAATATTATTTCATGGCTGTGAGCTAACATGAACCAACAACAAACAGTTTTTTTGCTAACTAAAATTAACAAAGATAAATATTAAATACTGTAACAAATGTTTTACTCATTGTTAGTTCATGTTAATGCGTTAATTGTTGGCAAAAAGGACCTTATTGGGAAGTGTTGTTTTATTTCATAAATATACATTTATTTTCAGACTTCTTTTTAATTCTATTTATACTATATAATTCCTGGCTATTTTTATTATTATTTTTAAATTTTATTTATTTATTTATTTATTTACGGCCGTTTTCCATACATTGTTTAGAAGCGTTAAGCAAATTGACAAGACTGCTTTATTGAGCTGATAATGCAGCTCATAAGTGATTTAAACCATGAAATAAATACATGTGTAAATGATTACCTCTTTGCAAAGAAGTGCTCATGTTTGTTAGCAGTGGGATGTACTCAGATCTGTCTCTGAAGCCAGAACTGGCAGAACATTGCTCATGTCCAGACCTACCACTGTCCTCTGCGTCATCAGATATACGCACACACACACACACACCTGAGCCTGCCTCAAACCCCCCAGTGTCTGTGCAACATGAGGAAACACGTCGAGTGCTCTGGTTTCCTTAACATCACTGTTTGATAAATAAGTTATTATTGGAACTAGACATCTGAAACTGGGAATCTGAAAGTTTGGCTGGGGTTTCATTCGGCCAATTAAGTGTACACTTTTACAGGCATCTCAATGGCAACATATAACGTAACTTAAAACTAATACAGTTTTGCCTGATTTGATTTGTCAGCCTGATTTCTTTTTAGTCATATGATTGATGTACTTTGGCACATTTATCATTAAAGGTCGTTCCCTTTAATGAAACGCAACAAAAGCAGTCCCTTGTTTAGAGCTCGTTTTAACATCATGGCATGCGCCGTTTCTTTCACACATATGGGTTCACGTCCTTGGAACCCACTGCGTTTTGTCCCTCCTGAGTTGTCGCTCCAGAATAAACCGTCCTTGAGTGTTTAGTGATGGCTGTTTCTGCCCAGTGATCTGGCTTTGCTCCTAAATTGAAGGGTTCTCACAGTCATGGAAAACCTGAAAATATAAGGGAATTGAAAATGGTCCATCTGAATGATGACTTAGTGATTCAGTCTGAATTTGAATGGTTTCTGTTTGTTGATGTTACTTATTCCCTTATCTGTATTTATTTATTCATTCATTTTCATGAAATTCATTAGTCAAAAAGTGTGGGAACCCTGTAAAACACCCAATTTGCCTAACATTCTTAGCTGTAATTTCAAGTTGAACATTTAGGGTGAGGGTTTGTCATTAATAAGATAAGGAACTTTTCTATTTTAGGAAAATCCCTCTGGATGAGGTCATTCACTTTCACATGTTTTAAAGATGTCTATAAAAAGGTGGAATGTAGCTTTAAATTCCGTACAGCTGCTACCGATTGGCAGGTGTCTCCGTTAGGGTGGAGCTTGTTTATAGTCTGCAAGAAGTCCACCACATGTTTGGTTTCCAGTTTAACTTTCCACACAAGATGCTGACAAGAGCTTTACAGAGCTGAAGATCTACTGAACTCCCATCATTCCCAAGGTTCTACATGCCCTTGCCCCTTATGTGTTTAACTATTTTATTCTATTTTAATATGTTTTAAATTGTAGTTTATCACTGTGATGCAAAGCTGAATTTTCGGCAGCCATTACTCTAGTCTTCAGTGTCACATGATCCTTCAGAAATCATTCTAATTTTCTGAATTGGTGCTCAAACTTTTTTTTTTAATCATTATCTATGTTGAAAATGGTATAAAACCTTGGAACATTTCTTTGATGAATACAAAATTCAAAAGAACAGCATTTATTTGAAATTTTAATTGTAACATTGTTAAAGTCTTTACTGTCACTTTTGATTAATTTAATGTAAATGTGAACAGTAGTTCAACAATAGGTCAGTCCCTAACTTCTAGTGGAAGAAAAAATGTGGGATGTGAAAACTAGGAAGCCTCATTTTCATTCGGCACATTAAATATTCTGTCTGCACTGAGGTCCATGAAGCTGAGATGATTCACTCTTATTCAGCCTTCAGTTTAAAGAGATCATTTCATACTTCACCCTCAGAAAAGTGAAGGCCAAACCTTGGCGTCTGAACATATAAATGGTTTAACTTGCTGTGTTGATGTTTACATTGAAATGTCGAGGGCAGAATGTATTGAAAACATCACAGCCAGTCTCATCATTTCCATGTCGCCACATCAAAGTTTCCCCTTCAGAGGAGGATTGTAAAATGTTTCATAGTGCACACTTTCGACAAGGTTAGAGTGAAAATTAGCAAAGGCAACGACAATTGATACTGAGCAGCCGCTGTCTGGCAGTGAAGTTGATGGCGCGATTATTAGTCTTGTGAGCAATAAACACATCAGAAGTGCAGAATGAATCATGGGACTTCACAGATGGCCTGTTCATTATTCAGCCACATTTCTGCCTCCGCCAGCCTCAGCCACATGGATTACAAACGTATGGATTGAGTGCATCAGACTGAATCACAACTATATTCAGTTAGCGGAGAGATGATTCAGCTGCATGAGACGCTAATCGAATAATGATTCATTTCACAAAGAGCTTCTGCTGCCATTGTGTTTGTTACTGAGTGAGAATGCATTAAGTGCAGAGAGGGATATGGATGACCGTTCAGCATTTTGTTTATTTGGTGTGTCTTCTAGTATTTATGAATAGATTTCCTCTGTGGTCTGTTTTCATTTAGGATAATTACCTCAAATTATTTTTTGTTTTTTTCTTTAATTGGAACAATATGGAGTTTGAAGAAACCGGATGTTGTAGTTGGATGACAGGATATTGCAATGTGTTTGCTGGGGCGTTGTAGGCGGTTACTTGTGTGCCTGAGTTTTCTTGAAGCTTCTGTGATATTATATTACAAATTTTTTCTATTATTGTCTGTCCATTGAAAATACTAAGATTAGTCACTTAAAAAAGTGATAGCCCACCTCAACTTCAAGCTGCACAATTGGTGAGGGACAAGTTACATGTGAGTATATTTTGCAATGCATCCCTAATATAGGGAAGCTTTGATCGATCGGCCGGAGATCGGTATCGGCCGATAATCATATTTTATGACTCGATCGGTACTCACCAACTTGGCCGATCTCAGGAACCGATCGCAATTTGATGACGTCAACGCGTGACGACATACATGATGCGTGGGTACATAAATGATTTGGCGCCGCAGTCATGTCATCGCTGGTGTGGAAATGCTATGACATTTTGAGAGACAATGAAAAATTCGCTGTTTGTCGTGTATGTTTTACATGATTCATCTACACCGCAGATTCAGTGACGTTAGAGCTGATCTGCACCTCACTGTACGCGTCTGCAGCACGTTACGGCTCCACGGCCACCGGAGCTGATCGTGGCCACTCTAGTCAGTGCTTGTGTTTATCAGTCAGCCGCAGCACGATTCTGAAGCGCCTCTCCGCGCTGCTTGGATAAAAATAGTCTTTTGTGAGTTGTCACAGCGTGGAGGACGGAACAAAAACAGAGGTTTCCCCAGTAACAGCTGTACACAAAGCAGCGCTGAGCTCACAAACGCTGCTTTATCAGGCATATAACATGCAAGATGAAATGAAAATCAGAAATACACTGATATAAAAACACCCGCGCCTCGTTTAGATTTTTAAATGTGCAGTACGTGCTCATGTTTATTCAACCAAGCCTTTTGGAAAATCCGTCAGTTTTGATATTGTGGTGAGCGCCACAAATAAATAAATGTATGGGAAACACATCCCACAGCACAACCACCTTAGCCCAACTTCAGTCTACTCATCACCTTAACTTTAACCGCGTTTGTAGCCGGTGCCATAGCCAGACTGGTAAACAAACACAGACCGGAAGTTAACTTCAGGCCAGGTGCGTGCGCCCATTGAAGCAGTCTATATAAAGCTTGAAGCATCAGAATCGGTATCGGCCGATCACTATGACAAGAAATCGTTACTCCGTATCGGCTGCAAAAATCCTGATCGGAGCATCCCTACCCTAATATCTTAGGTGCTTATACTGATGGTTAGCAATTTGAACACACATCTTAAGGAGTTACACTACCGTTCAAAACTCTTAAAATTAAAGGTTCTTGCAATGATGCCATAGAAACACAATTTTGTGTTTCCCAAAGAACATTTACCCAGCCTCTGAAGGTACTTTGAAGAATGTGGGTAACCAAACAGTTGCTGGTAGCCACTGGAAAAAATACTATGGAAGTCACTACCAGCAACTTGAATCATGTTGTAGTTACATTATCAAGTTGACTAGTTAAAAAAACGTTAGAAATCGAGAATCGGTCAAACGTTTTGAAAAAAAATCGAGATTTCAATTTTTTGCTATATTGCCCAGCCCTGTTAGATTTTGGAGTGTGTTCAAACTCCTAACCCTCAGTATGATTCCAAAACCAGTGAAATTTCACAGTTTGTAATACCACACTAAATACTAACAAAGATTTTTTTTGCTATTAATAGTTATGGTATTAATAGTTAATACCATTCTTTTTTTTCAGTGTTGAATCAACATTGTACACGGTGTGCCTGTGCTTTTTTCAGAATATTTATTCATTATTCAGAATATTTATTCAGCATGTGAGGAGTATATTTCACACCCCATACGGGGGTAATGGAAAATACGTTTCTCCTGCACTGTGCTCTTCACCTGAGCTTTCACTCCTTGGAGTTATTGATTGAATCCTCCAGCTTGTTCTTGACCGGACAGATCTTCAGCCTGACTTTTTCTGCCCGTCCCACAGGTAGATGCGTAAGACTCGGGCCACATTCATTTACTTAAAAAGAAAAAGGTTATGTTGCTGAGCCCTGTGCACTTAGGGAATGCTGTTGTGAGTTCACTCAATGTCCCATGTGTGCCAGTGTTTCAGTCGAGCTGGTTTGTTGGTGAGGTTTCAGCTTCGAATGTTTTGATACTGGCCTTTTAGCAAAAGAAATGATACGTTTTTCTCTTTTTTTGATCTCAATATAGAAGTTTTATTGTGTTGTGGATATACTGGAGGCAAGTGGTTATTGATTGTCTGGGTGTGAGTCTGGGCTTCAGTCCTTGTGGTGTTTGTTCGATTTGACAGCGCTGCCAATTTCTTTTCAGAGGAAATGAAATAGGCTGACATGGTTTAGAAGTTTCTTTAAATGATTAAAGCCCTTCATTTGTTTCTTTTTGTTCTTTGTGCTGCTGCTTTAATAAAAGCTAATGGCTTTTCGTAATTTCTTTTCCATCAGTCTTTGCAGAGCAGATGGCCGGTCATCTGTGGCAACAGTCTTGCTGTGCACGATTACAGATTTCACATCACGGATGCTCTCCTGCGCTCCCTTCCTCTCATATCTCTCTTCAAAAATTACTAGTCTGTCCTGAGGGAAACGCTTCTATCAGCTTCATGTCAATCACAATCCGTCCATCATTCTGTGGTTTCTTTAGATATAATGTATCCAAGCAGTCAAAACAGAGGGGTGAGATGTTGCACTTACAGTGAGGGCATGCGGGAGTTCAACCTGGCTGCAGGTGCGAAAAAGGAAGTGCTTGCTTTGAGCGTGTAATCCCTCTAGTTTGCTGTGTTGGTAGGATCAACACAAAGGGTCACTGTGGGAGTCCGGCCTTTTGGGCTGAAGAGATTTACCTGACATCTCCCATGACAGAATCTCTAAAGCGCCACTATGGTTTATTTGCTCGAGACAATGAGGATGATGCTAATGAGCGAGTCAGAGAGTGATTCACCAATGCCAAAGCACAGATTTCTGCTCCTGCTTGGTCTGTTGCACAGTAATGCTACCGGTGCTATTAGAGCAGTTTAATTAGCAGGGATTTCCCTGTTCATACATGAGGAATAGGTATTAGCGGAGTCAGAGAACCGTAGTTGGATTTCTTCTGGAACTGGAAGCTGTACTGACGGCTGTATTGCTCATTTCTGAGATGTGTTGGTCATTGTTTACTCACCCTTGTTTTCAAATAATAACTACTGTCCAAAGTTTAGACTTTTTGAAAATAAATTTATACTTTTATTCAGCAAGGATTAATCAAATGTGTCAGTAAAGTCTTGCATCACTGGCAAATATTATGCAGCATAACTCTTTTTAAAATTGTGATGATAAATGTTTCTTGAGCACCAAATATGATTTCTGAAGGATTATGTGACACTGAAAACTGTAGTAATGGCAACGGAAAAATTCAGCTTTGCATCACAGGAATAAATTACAATTCACAATATTTAAATAGAAAACAGTTATTTTAAATGGTAATAATATTTCACAATATTACTGTAGTTACCTAAAATGTGTTTTAATGTCACTATTGGTGAGAATTGTTTGATCTTTGAATAATATTGGTCTTTAAATGCAAGATATTTAAAATATACCTGAAATATACTTGCAATAGTTCCACTCAAATATACTTTAGTATATCTTTAATTGCACTTCAGCACTGCTTCCGCACAATTAAAGTACATTAAGTGCAAAATTAGTTGTTCCAATTTAGCAGAATTTAAGTATACCAGTTTAGTATAATACAAGTAAAATTGCAGGGTATTTTTATTATTAGCACATGGATATGTAAATATTTTAGTAGTATACTAAATTTCAGATACATTTTAGTATATTTGTTTTTCACTAGGGACACAAAATGGCACATTAAAGTTCTAATAAATAATCAATTTTCTGAAATCACCCCCCTGAATGATATCGCTCAAATGAGAGAAAAGGTTTCTAATCAGCAATCAAGCACAGACTGTAGGCGATTTCACCTCCCTGAAATATATATACAGGGTGTTAATATGAGAGACTGGTGCCGTAGGGCTAAACCATCTTTCTGCTCCGCACTCCGTATCAAACTGTCCTGTGATCAGAACACCTTACCGTCACATCTGGCACATGTGGCTCGCTGCCTGCAGGCTCCTGTTAGAAGAGTCAGAACCGATCTCATCAGGGCTTAATACTCAGCCGTACCTCAAGTGCTCAATACTTCATCTGCCTGGACACTCCGCTTTTTGATATCCTTCTGTTGAAAGTGTTTTAGACTTCCTTAAGTTTTCCACTTCGACTCTAATTTGGTGCTAGCCTGCAGCCTGTCGGGGTTTCATTATAAGTTGATCACAATCATGCCGTTCCTCCTTATAATCCTGAGCTCCCTGATGAATAAATGTGGGGCTGAAATCAGTAGGCTTATGGAGTGTTTTAAGGTATAAGTAGAGAAGTGTGGCAGCTCTTGTAATCGTGCAGCAGGATGAGATGTTACACCTACAGCGAAGGGTAGCGCAGACCTCTGGAGCTCAGCTGAGCCAGCCGCAGGTGTGAAGTGGGAAGAGTTAAATGGCTGTTTGGAGCGGCTAATTCTTCCTGTTTCAGGAGAGGAATGGGCATCTGCAGGCAGGATCACAGCAAGGCCAGGCATGAGGAAAGGTTCGATAAGGGATTTCAAACTTTTGACCTGAACAGAATTACCTGACATCACCTCTCCATCATAGGTTTCTTTGCATGCCTCCAGTCACAGCAGACGTTTTGACATTTCTGCTCTAGATGCTTCGAATAACCTTCCTTAAAGCTATAGTTCACCCAAAAATGAAAATTGTCAGGATTTACTCACGCTCAAGTTGTTCCAAACCTGTATGATTTAATTTCTTCCACTGAACACAAAAGAAGATATTTTGACGTATGTGGCTAACCAAGCAATTTCTGGTCCCAATTGACTTCAGTAGTATTTTTTGTTCCGTACTGTATTTGGAGTCGGCCAGTCTCTAACGCTCACTTCAATAAAAACAGTAATGGTGTAAAATATTATTACTATGTAAATATATTTATTTTAATATATTTTAAAATGTAATATATTCCTATGATGACACAGAGTTTTTTCTCCAGTCTTCAGTATAACATGATCCTTCAAAAATCATTCTAATATGCTGAATTGATGTTCAAAAATAAACATTTTACTATCAATGTTGAAAACTTTCTTAATATTTATGTGGAAACTGTGATACATTTTTTCTGGATTCTTTGAAGAATCGAAAGTAAAAAAAAAATGGACATTTTCTTTCACAACATTCTGCGTAAATTACTTTCTAATGTCATTTCTGATCAGTTTAATGCATTCTTGCTGAATAAAAGTATAAATTTCTTTCAATGTGTATATATACATGCATACATAGATACATACGTACATACACACAAGCACAGAATACCATTCAAAAGTTGGGGTCAGCCTTTTTTTTGGCCTCGCTGCCTGCAGGCACTTGTTAGAAACAAGGTTACTTTATTCACCTGCATGTTATGAAATTGTAAAAATTTGTATAATGTCCCGGCAACTCTTTTGAATGTAATTAATCTAAATGAGGACTAAAGCACCAAAATAACACACAAAGCATCATAAGAGTAGTCTGTATGACTCATGCACTGTTTTTGCAAGTCTTCTGAAGCCGATGGCTCTGTGTGATCTTTTCATTAAGTATTTTTTTCTATTTTACAAAAACCTCTTAATGATTAATCCATATTTCAAGTGCTTAGTGCTTCATGTGCCTGGACCGATATCCAGTGCACTTGAGGAAAGAGCCTTGAGTTCACCAGAACAGTTTTTAGATCATCTCATCTAATGCGTTCAGGTTTAATTTGTTAAATTGATCTTGAGGCTGTCTGTCGCTCTGTCTGTCTCAGAATCCTAGGCTCCTTGGTGAAGATATGAGGTTATGAGATCAATAGGCATTAGTGCAGAAGTGCTGGGAATGGATGATCAGCCCCACACTTTTCCTTGATGTTTCTTTTAAAGTGCCGTGCCCTGATGCTCAGTCTGTGTTTGAGATGTTTTTCTTCTTTTTCATGTGCATCTGTTTCTCTCCACAGAAAGAGCTGTGCAACATGATCCTGGACTGTTGTGCCCAGCAAAGAACATACGAGAAGTTCTTTGGTCTCCTAGCTGGGGTGAGCATGTCTTTCACTTTTTGCTTTATTAAAACTTTTTTAAATGCCATTTTGTAGTTGTATGTTAATTTTTAATATGTATATTGATTTTTTTTATCCATATATATGTGTGTGTGTGTGTGTGTGTGTGTGTGTGTGTGTGTGTGTGTGTGTTTTATTTATTATTATTTATTTACACTTTTGTATTTGTCTAGTTTGCATATTAATTTCATTATAAGATAAACTGTTTATTTTATATTTTATTTTTATTTTTTATATTTTATTTTACTATAAGTTAATTTTAATTGATTTATTATTGTACATTTTATTTATATATATTTTTCTTTAGTAATGTTATCATAAGATTATTTATTTACTTTTGTTTAAATGTTAAAAGTTTTTTTTAAATTCATGATTTATAAAATTATTTGATTGAAGTGTTTATTTATTTATAGATTTCAACATTACACAAGGCAGCATTATTTTCTCTCTAGATTTATGAATATTTAAAGTGACATACACCTCATCTGCACTATTGGTGCAAGATCACAACAGTTGTTTGTTTCTTCATCTGATGTTCTCATCTTTTATGTAGAGGTTTTGCCTGCTGAAGAAAGAATATATGGAGAGTTTTGAAGCCATCTTCCAGGAACAGTATGAAACCATCCACCGGCTTGAAACCAACAAATTGCGTAACGTTGCTCGAATGTTTTCTCATCTCCTCTACACAGACTCCATACCATGGAGTGTGAGTAGCTTTTATTACTTCTTTCTTTACATTCACCACATCAGCATTTAGACATGGCTAATAAACGAATGCATCCCACAAGCTGTAATTACGTTTTAGACAACAACACATCAATATGGACAGACACATTATTGGTTTCCTGATGTAGTAAAACAGTGTTATTTTTTTTCTCTCTCTCTCAGGTCCTTGAATGCGTTAAAATGAGTGAAGACACAACGACGTCCTCCAGTCGAATCTTTGTGAAGATTTTGTTCCAGGAACTTTGTGCTTATATGGGCTTGCCAAAACTGAATGAGAGGCTGAAGGACATGTAAGTGCTTTCCTTTGTGTTGCATTGAATACAGTTAATCGATAATTAATTAATGGACCATATCGTTTGTTTATTCCTCAGGACTCTTCAGTCTTTCTTCGATGGTCTTTTCCCACGTGACAACCCGAGGAACACGAGATTTGCCATTAATTTCTTCACATCAATTGGCCTTGGAGGACTTACGTACGTACCTGTGAAATCTCTCCTTTTGGGTCGGCTCCAATTGTTGAGAACAAATGCTTACTGCACTTTTTTTTTTCTTTCAGGGATGAGTTGAGAGAACATCTGAAGAACGCTCCTAAGATGATCATGACCCAGAATCAGGAAGTGGAGTCATCTGATTCTTCCTCTTCTTCTTCAGACTCCTCCTCATCTTCAGATTCCCCATCTGACAGCGACAGCAGTGACAGTGACTCGGATTCGTCCAGCGACTCAGACTCCTCCTCCAGCAGTGACAGCTCCTCAGGTATCAAAACTAGAGCCCGACCGATATGGGTTTTTTGGGGCCGATATTAGGGTGTTTAAAAAAGGCCGATACCGATATATCGGCCGCTATTCTTTGTGTATATTATAGTACAGTACCAGTCAAAAGTTTGGACATTTTCCCATTCGTGTGTCCAAACATTTGACCGGTACTATATATAGAATACAGTATATGCATAAAAATAATATATATACATAAACACATTTTTTGCAATGATCACTCAAATGTGGTGATCAAACACTTATAATGGTGACAGAGATATGTTATGGAGGCAGGGCATTTAACAATAAACTTTACTATCCAAAATGAGTCTGACATCAGTGCACTGAACAGTAAAGTTGAAGTTTATTCAACTTTAATTCAATTCCATTCAACTTTATTCCATTTAAGTTTATTTCACTTCGGAACATTCATTCACGGATTTGCACTACTGTCTTCACACACACACACACACAGATGAAACTTACTAGAGAAGTGTGACATAATATAATATAGGGGAGCGTGATGCACAAACGGGGGGTTAGTTGTAACACGTGGTTTGAATAGTTATTTTACCATAGTAAAATTTTAATTCTGGCTTAAGTAAAAATTTTTATCTCAGTTTTTATTATTCATTTAAAATGAGACAAATCTGCTATTATTTTAATCTCCAATCTGTTATTTATCAGTTCAGATATATATATATATATATATATATATTTTTTTTTTTAAAAAAACATAAAAAAGTTTTTTTCCAAAAAAGAAAAAAGCGTCTG